TTATTAGTTGGCTAAATGGAAGACAGCTGAGGAGGTGGCTGCCCTGATCCGGTCTCTGCCCGTGGAGGAGCAGCCCAAGCAGATCATTGTCACTAGGAAAGGCATGCTGGATCCACTGGAGGTGAGGTGGTGAATGAGGTAGAAGGAAAGAGGGCTGAGACCTGCTGACTCTGTTTCTAAACTTGGACTTGATCTTGTCTCAGGTGCACTTGCTGGACTTCCCCAATATTGTGATTAAAGGATCAGAGCTCCAGCTCCCCTTCCAGGCTTGCCTCAAGGTGGAGAAGTTTGGGGATCTCATCCTTAAAGCCACTGAACCGCAGATGGTTCTCTTTAATCTCTATGATGACTGGCTCAAGACTATCTCATCTTACACGGTATGAAACCACCTTGCTAGGAGCGCCACTCTGAGAGGAGTGGGTATGGAGTCACAAGAAAGTCCTGTGCCTTAACTTTCTCCACAGGCCTCTTGGGGGGCTATTTTCACCTCATCCACCTGTGGATGGGTCAGTGCCCCTGCCTGCAGTGAGGGGGACACCTTAGGGTGTGAGTCTCCAAAGGGATGGGCTGGTGGAGAGGGAAGAATGTCCAGTAGCTGACCTCCCTTGCCACCATACCTCTCCCCAGGCCTTCTCCCGCCTCATCCTGATTCTGCGCGCCCTGCACGTGAACAACGACCGCGCAAAGGTGATCCTGAAGCCAGACAAGACTACGATCACAGAGCCGCACCACATCTGGCCCACTCTGACCGACGAGGAGTGGATCAAGGTGGAGGTGCAGCTCAAGGACCTCATCTTGGCTGACTACGGCAAGAAGAACAAGTGAGTGGTGGGGGCTGCCGGGGGAGCCGCAGGGGTAGACAGGCGGCTCGGCGTATGCTTTCTGGGCTTTTCCAAACGTTTTAAGCCAAGACGATTCTCAAGAAACTGTCATGGAGATGCCTGTAGGTGGTGTCTTCTGATGGTGTAGGAAGTGTCCATGTCTCAGGGCTCAAGCTGACTCTTGGGCACTGTTCCTTAGCAGAGGCACTGTTATCATTTTGAGCAGGGTGTTTCTTTACTGTCCATGCAGTCCAGGGAGTTCTAAGATACTGAGACCCCTCAGTATCACAGCTTATCACACAGACACACACACAGCCCATGCAGTAGAGGGGATTCTAACATCCCATATCCCTCAGTACCACAGCTTATCACACACACAGACACACACACCTATGCACACATGCACACCCACATAGTAGAGAGAGTTCTAACATCCTAGACCCCTCAGTACCACAGCTCATAACACACACACACACACGGAGTTCTCACATCCCAGACCCCACAGTAGCACAGCTAATAAAACACACCCACACTTTCCTTCTTTCTCTTTCCCTGTCATTTTTGCAACCAAAAATGTCCATAGATTTCCAGACATTGGTAAGGGTGACTGACGTGTCAACTCTGAGAACTTGTTCCAGCATTTTCGTTTTTGAAAGTTTTTCCAGTTTCAGGGCACTTTTTGTTGAGGTAGAGTGGGAGGTGTGGGTGCTAAATCTGGTTTGAGCATGATCAGAAGGTGTACAGGCATAGGGTCAGCCTGGGATGTGACAAATCTGATCCATATTAGTGTATTTCCACTTCACACTTGCTGTATAAGTGTCACTTAGGATTGTCTGGGGTCAGGGTACGTATGGGCTCCGTTTCTCACCCAGTTAACAAGCTTGCAGTTAGGGGTATAAGCGACCAAGGGAAGGGATCATTGTGGTGTGACTCACACCGTCCCCACAGTGTGAATGTGGCATCGCTGACACAGTCAGAAATTCGGGACATCATCCTGGGGATGGAGATCTCAGCACCATCACAGCAGCGGCAGCAGATCGCTGAGATTGAGAAGCAGACCAAGGAACAGTCGCAGCTGACTGCAACCCAGACTCGCACTGTCAACAAGCATGGTGACGAAATCATCACCTCCACCACCAGCAACTACGAGACCCAGACTTTCTCCTCTAAGACTGAATGGAGGGTCAGGTAGTGCACAGGGCAGAGGGGTGGGGATGGGAAGGCCTGTCGGTGCTGCATGAGGTGCTTGAGTTGAGAAATGCCAACATTCCCTGCCTGTTTTTAGGGCCATCTCTGCCGCCAACCTGCACCTAAGGACCAATCACATCTATGTTTCATCTGATGACATCAAGGAGACTGGGTACACCTATATCCTTCCCAAGAACGTGCTTAAGAAGTTTATCTGCATATCTGACCTTCGGGCCCAGGTGAGTATGTTTGTCCAACTAGGCCACAGTGTGTGCTAAGCATTTATGAGCCTAAAACTCACCTGAGATTTCCTGGAATTGGAGGTGATGTTTTGAAATTCATGGATGAGTAAAGTATATATAAGGATAACCAAAACAGGGAGGAAGGTTTTGGCCCCTACCAGATACAAAAGCATTATAAAGCTGTGGCAATTCAGAGGATGATGTGTGATTGGCCTAGAAGTTATTGGAAGGAAGTATCATATAGTCAGATTCAGATTCATGTGTATACAGAATGAAGTATCATATAGTCAGAAACAGATTCATGTGTATACAATAAATCAGGTGTATCATTTGAGGATTCCACTTCATCTGTGGGATTGTGTTTTATGATATTGAAATAATCAGCAAAAGGAGACTTGATCCCTACTTTGTAGCACTTACAGAAGTAAAATCCAGATGGAATAAAAATCTGGATATAAAATACTAAACTCTAGTATAGTATTAGAAGAAAATATTTATTGTCTTAGTGATGGAATAATCTTAAGATACACAGCACAAAAGCATCATCAAAATGATTAACTTGTGTGTGACAAAGAGTACCACAAAAGACAAAAACAGGAAGAAATAAAAGATAACTAAAAGGTTGAGCAAAGAGTTTCAAGGTTGTTTCAAGGAGAACCCAGTGGTGGAAACAGTGCTGCGGGTTTACTGATGTGTACAACTTGTTGAATGCCTGAGCTGTGTGCTTGTGCTCATTTGTTTATGGTTACTGTACTTAAAGACTCAACTGGGGAATGTGTGAGGAGTGCTGATTCCTGGACCCCACTCAAGATTCTGATGTGATTAAGTCTGAGATGAAGTCCGTGTTTAACATTTTGAATAAGTACCCCCAGGCTTTTTTAATGTAGGAGATTCTGGCCACATTTTTAGGCACTCTGTCTTTGTCCTGGCAAAGGGAATTAAGCACAAAGCTGGTACTAAGAATCTCTTTGGTTCCTGACCCCCTTGTCTCCAGATTGCAGGATACCTGTATGGGGTGAGCCCACCAGATAACCCCCAGGTGAAGGAGATCCGCTGCATCGTGATGGTGCCACAGTGGGGCACTCACCAGACTGTGCACCTGCCTGGCCAGCTGCCCCAGCATGAGTACCTCAAGGTTAGTGGAGGAAGTGGGAGGGCTGCGACTTCCTGCTCTCGGGGTGGTGGAGGGAAGGCAGAGGTTTTACTCTCATGGGTGGGATTCCAGGGCCCTAAATAGCTTTCCTTCGCTCTTCCTATAGGAGATGGAACCGTTAGGTTGGATCCACACTCAGCCCAACGAGTCTCCCCAGCTGTCACCCCAGGATGTCACCACCCATGCCAAGATCATGGCCGACAACCCATCTTGGGATGGCGAGAAGACCATTATCATCACCTGCAGGTGGGCTTGAGCCCCCTTGGGAGGAAGGGTGGTGGGAGGCATTGCGGGCCAGGGCCCAGAATGGTGGCCTGAGCTCTGACTCTGTCCTCATTCCTCTTCCAGCTTCACACCAGGCTCCTGCACCCTGACAGCCTACAAGCTGACTCCCAGTGGCTATGAATGGGGCCGCCAGAACACAGATAAGGGCAACAACCCCAAGGGCTACCTACCCTCGCACTACGAGAGGGTCCAGATGCTACTGTCGGATCGCTTCCTTGGCTTCTTTATGGTCCCTGCCCAGTCCTCGTGGAACTACAACTTCATGGGTATGTGGGCCAGGGTGTGCGGTGGGGGCAGGGGTGCACAGGAAAGTGGGGATAAGGTTAGGCCACCACGCTTAGCACTTGGGCCCAGATTCTGGTTTAGAGATGGCCCAGGGACCCAGGCTGGGTGAGGCAGGTGGACCTTGTCAACGCTGGCCTCTTCCTTCTACTCCAAGGTGTCCGGCATGATCCCAACATGAAGTACGAGCTGCAGCTGGCAAACCCCAAAGAGTTCTACCACGAGGTGCACCGGCCCTCCCACTTCCTTAACTTCGCTCTCCTGCAGGAGGGCGAGGTCTACTCTGCGGACCGAGAGGACCTCTATGCGTAGTCGTCTCTTCACCTCCTGCTCCAGCCTCTGGTCAGGGCTAGAGCCTGTGACCCCACAGACAAGCTGGTGACATTCAGCAGCTTAGCCCCTTTTTCCTCTCTTTTGTGCTTGCGATGTTGTTGACCTCGTGGTGACTTGTAATTGTGAAAAAGTATAATAATAAATTTTGTATAAATAGGAGGTTTTGAAGCTTCTTTTCCCGTGAGCTCAGATTCTGGGTGTAGGTATGGCAGAGGCTGGACGTGTTCACAGCAAGCTGCTGGACTGAGCCCTGAGGCCTCCCCCCCTGTTTGGAGCTGTGGGCATAAATATCCTCTAAGCTCAGTGAGTTGGAGGGGAGTTGGGTTTTCACACCCCTGCTGCTGTGACCACATTTGCCAGTTTTCCCCCAGATACTTGTAAACCCTCACCGCTTTTCAGCATCTCTTGGAGCAGTCCCTCTCTTGAGTGTAGAAGCTCCTGGCTTGTTCTCGGTAGCTGTAGAGCCCAGCTTAGCCCCTTAAGCTTTGTGTCACTCAGCCTGTCCTGGAAACAGGCACGTGGCTGGACATTTGGCTGCCACTGGCTGAGGTCAGTGACAGCCCTCCTACCACTCACCTCTTGGCGGAGAGCTGGCAGCCAAGTCAGGCCCCATGACTCTAGACACAGGGGTGGAGCCTGGTGTGGACACTGGGGAGGGCTTGACAAAAGTGACCACTTATAGCCCTGGGCCTCAGCTCCTGGACGCCTGGCCGGAATGTCCTACTTCCTGTGACCTTGGGGGCTTTAACAGGACAGGGTCCAGAGCCCTGAGTCTCTTCCAGTGTTTTCCCTGAATCGCTCCTCCCTTGTCGCTTCTACCCCGCCCTCGACTGTCCTAAGCTGCTTCCTGGGCCGGGACTGATTGGCTTTTTCCTGCCCCAGTTGGAGGAGGAGGGTGTCGCAGCCCTGGTCGCCTTCGGCGGACATGGAGCCCAGAAGGGCGGTGCCTGGGGCGCATGGCTGGGGGCCTCGGGTGGCCGCGGGATCGGGGACGGCCGCGGAGCTAGTGTACCACCTAGCGGGGGCCCTGGGCGCTGAGCTGCAGGAGCTGGCGCGCCGCTTCGGGCCGGAGGCGGCGGCCGGGCTCGTGCCGCTGGTGGTGCAGGCGCTGGAGCTCCTGGAAAAGGCGGCCGTGGGGCCCGCCCCAGACTCGGTGAGTTACGGCGCCCTTCCCCAGCCGCCTGCCGGGCCAGCGGGAGCTGACCACAGCGTCGCATCCCCAGCTGCAGGTATCCGCGCAGCAGGCAGAACTCGAGCTGCGGAGGCTACGAGAGGATAACGAGCGCCTCCGCAGAGAGCTGCGCTCTAGACCACAGGGTGAGTGCCGGCCTGCGGGGCTCCGTGGTCAGGGCGGCTCAGGGCTTCCCCCTGCTGGCCCGCTGTTGAGAACGCCCCTTCCTCAGAGGAGCACGCTCTGCTGCGGCAGCTCAAAGAGGTGACCGACCGCCAGAGGGACGAACTCCGGGCGTACAACCGCGACCTGCTGCAGCGAAGCCAGGAGACCGAGGCGGTGAGGGCGGGGCGGGGCGACGTGCGGGATGCGGGGCCCTGCCGGCCCTCGGGCGCCCCGCCCACCAGCCCCTTGGCTCCGCCCACAGTTGCAGGAGCAGCTGCAGCGCCTCCTGCTGGTGAATGCGGAGTTGCGGCAGAAGTTGGCCGCGGTACAAACCCAGCTGCGCGCCGCGCGGGACCGCGAGAGCCAGCGAGAGCAGCGGCGCGAAGCGGCCGTGGAGCCGCCTCCGGAGCCGGTGCAGGGCCAGGCCGCAGGGCCCGGGTGCAAGCAGAGGCGGGAGTCCGAGGGGGCAGCCGCGGGCACAAGAGCCCCGGGGACCCCTGAGGACCCGGTGAGTACCCGATGAGGGACCAGTCCGGCTCTCGGTGGGCACTCGGGAAAGTTTTGCTGTACGTAGCAGGGCCAACAGGCTAGCTGAAAGGTGGTTACGAGTGTGCGCCCCCAGCTGGCCTCCGCCCCTACTCTCAGCCAGAGCCCCGGCCTGGCACCCATGGTAGCGCCCTGGCCTCCCAAGGCTCCCTGCCAGTCCTCTCGCGTCCCTATCCAACCGAGGCGCCCCCTGACCAAGCCTGTCCTTCCACAGGCAGATGCCCCGCCGCCGCCAGGGCTCCCAACCAAGGCAGGGCAGTGCGGCTTCAGTCGAGAGGAGGTTCAGCAGATCCTTCAGGAGCGGAATGAGCTCAAAGCCAACGTGTTCCTGCTGAAGGAGGAGCTGGCCTATTTCCAGCGGTGAGGGCGCCGGGCAGGGCCCGGAGGCAGGGGCGCCAGGTGCACCTGTTCCCTGGCCTCGGTTCACCCGCCTCATTCTTTGAGTGGTTGATATGTCCACAGTGTCATGTGCCACCCACCGTGCTGGGCACTGGAGGACGTGAGTCATATAGTCCCTGCCCTCCCGGATCTTCTTCCACACAGGGGAGGGCCAGTGCTGAGGGTCAGCAGCAGTGGCTGTCAAGGAAGTACTCGGAGGAGAGGTGACACCTAAGCTTAGGGCGGCAAGGCAGAGTGTTCCCAAAAGGGGCAACAACATGCACAGTACTTGGGTCGAGACCTATTCTTAGCATCCCCACTGCTTTGTCTCTGCCCTTCCTCCTCCTCTGTAGGGAGCTGCTCACAGACCACCGGGTCCCTGGGCTTCTGCTTGAAGCCATGAAGGTAGCTGTCAAGAAGCAGCGGAAGAAGATCAAGGCCAAAATGTTAGGGACTCCAGAAGAAGCTGAGAGCAGGTAAGACCCCGGCCTCTGTTCCCACCGAGCCTGGTCACCTTCTGAACCCACTGCCTCAGACTGTGCTTGTCACCTAGCTCAGCCACCTCTGGAACCTGCTAAACTGGCCTGGTCACCCCCCCCCCCCCCCCAATCCTGCCGTCCTGAGCCCACCACCTTCTCCCTGGATCACAGGTGCTCCCACCTGCCCTGCTCACTGCACATCCTAACTCTGCTTCTCCACAGTCGGTTTTCACTTTCTTTGATTTCTTGTCTTGGCTGCATCTGTTTGTTCTCAGACAGGTAAAGGTAAGGCTGTAGCTGCGGGCCCTGTCCGCAGCCTGCTGTGTATCTGGCTAGAAAATAAATGCCTCAAGATGTCCTCTGTCTCCCCAGATTTTCCTTCTCTCCAGCTTTCCTTAACTTTTCATGTTGGTGTATAGTGGATTAACAGTGTTGTGTGACAGTTTCAGGCATACACCAAAGTGATTCAGTTTCCCTCACTCCAGCTGTGGGGGCCCCAAAGTCGCTCTGTCCTCCCCTTCCTGCTCCTCGGGGCTACACAGAAGACTGAATACAGCGGACTCTGCTTGGCCCTCAGGGCCTTGATGAAGGACCCTCATGTCTCCTCTCCTCTCTTCTCTCTTCTCTGCCTCAGTGACGATGAGGATGGCTCATGGCTCCTGCTCTCCAGCGATAAGGGAGACCATTCTGAACCCCCAGCCCCTGAGTCCAGAATACGGAGTTTGTATGTTGAGGGAAGAGGAAGGATGAATGTGGCAGGGGTGGGGGTGGAGGGGCCCACCTTCCCTCCTGCTGCCCCAAGCGAGTAGCATGCCCGTTCCCTGTTCCCTCCTGCTCCTCTGGGGCCCCCTACTGCCCCCTGCCTCATGCTGCCCTTTCTTGCTCTGGGGCCCCTTTTGACAGCTCCCCCTGCCACCCTCAGCCCCTGTCCTTGACCTCCCTGGCGGCCAGGCTCAAAGCACTTCTTGGCTTTCCCCCCAGCTTTGGCCAGTGGTATCGGGGTGAAGCAGAGGCCCCCGGGACTGAGACCAGCAGTGTGGCTCCCAGCCAGCTACAGGGAGGAGAGGAGACCCCGCAGCCACCCCTCCTGGAGCCAGTGGGCAGCCTGACAGCCCCCGACTCCTGACGGGTCCTGCTGTGCTCTCAGTGAACATCTTTGTCTGGGGTCTCAGCTGCCCCAGAGGCCTGACTCTGCAATCTGTCTGTGGTTGGATGTGTGACCTCAAATGAGGACTGGGCTTCCTCCTTCCCTGCCCTTCCCAGGCTCTTCTCTAATCCTGGTCCGAGCCGGGGTCTGATGGGAGCTCAGCCTACTTTCCTTCCTATCAGTTCAGTTCAGCTGCTCAGTGGTGTCTGACTCTTTGCGACCCCCTGGACTACAGCACACCAGGCCTCCCTGTCCATCCGGGAGTTTACTCAAACTCATGTCCGTGGAGTCGGTGATGCCATCCAACCATTTCATCCTCTGTCGTCCTCTTCTCCTCCTGCCTTCAATCTTTCCCAGCATCAGGGTCTTTTCCACTAAGTCAGTTCTTCCCATCAGGTGGCCAAAGTATTGGAGTTTCAGCTTCAGCCTTGGTCCTTCCAATGAATATTCAGGACTGATTTCCCTTTGGATGGACTGGTTGGATCTCCTTGCAGTCCAAGGGACTCTCAAGAGTCTTCTCTAACACCACAGTTCAAAAGCATCAATTCTTTTTTTTTTTTTTTCAGTTCTACCACTTTATTGCTACCAACCCATCTCCCTCCACCCTCATGCACATATGCTCAGTCATGTAACCCCATGGACTGCAGCCCGCCAGGTTCCTCTGTCCATGGACTTTTCCAGGCAAGAATACTGGAGTGGGTTGCCATTTCCTTCTCCAAAGAGCATCAGTTCTTTATAGTCCAACTCTCACATCCATATATGACTACTGGAAAAACCATAGCTTTGACTAGATGGACCTTTGTTGGCAAAGTAATGTCTCTGTTTTTTAACAGAGACATTCCTATACCTCTGTGCCAAGTCTCGGGGGCCAGATAAAAGTGCTGCTTCTCTGAGTTTGTTTCCCCATCCGTGACACGGAGAGCTGACTGCCCCCCCTCCCAGGTGTTTGTACAGATGGCCTGAGCTATTGGAATAAAACAACTGCCCATGATACCAGAAATGGCTCCATGTCTGTCTGTCAGTGATCTGCCCCTGCCCAGCTCTGCCAGGACAGCCCCCTTGGTTGTCACTAGTTGGTGGGGAGCGGCGGGGTGGGGGGGGCTTCTCCCGTCTCCGACTTTCCTTGGGGAATGTGACCTAATGGATTTCCGTGACTTACCCACTCGCCTGTCCTGGGATCCGGGACTTAGAGCCTCACCTTCCTGCCCCCTCCGGATTCAGACCTGCCCGGAAGCCTCCACTGAGCCCATTGGCCTTCCCTTTCCTTTCACTATTCTGGTGTGTGCGCCTCAGCGCCTGCCCACCATCTCAGGGAGGTGCCTGGTGGCAGCCCGCCCCTCTAGCCTGGTTTCCTCAGGAAAAGCCTGGGGAGGAAGCAGGAAGAGGGTTGGGAGCTGTGGGGGCCAGACTGACCCAAGCCCTCCCGCTGCACTGGCCGCCATGGGGCCGGGGCTGCTGTTCCCTCTGCTGCTGCTCCGGGCTCTGGGGGCCCCGGGGTCTGAGCTGGACGCCGGGGGGCGGCACGTCTGCAAGGCCAGCAGGTGGGTCTTGTGGGCATCTGACGAGGGGGGAGGAGGACATGAGGAAAGAGGGGCTAAAGCTGGAAGGGTCCGGGGACAGCCTGGAGGGCGGTGGGATGGCCAGGGACATAGTGGAAAGGGTTTACAGACGTGGGGCTGTGACCCTTGGTCAGGCCCACCAGATGAGGCTGAGGCCAGCGACAGTGATCCAGCTGCAGGGCCAGGCTGCCCCCCCCTGGCTGACCCCTCTCTGCCCCACAGCCCCTCTGCTGAGCTCCAGTGCTGCCCAGGCTGGAGGCAGAAAGATCGAGAATGCACCATCCGTGAGTAGCCAGGATGGTCCCATCTACCCCACCCCACCCGCCACTGGAGGAGAAAGGAGGACAAAGCCCAGTGACTCTTCCTTCCTACCCACCCTGGGGTCTATTTGCCCTCCTGAGTCCTTGTGCCAAGGTCCCTCCTGTGACCCAAACCCCCCGGCCCCGAGGAAACAGCTCTTGAGGGAGGCAGGGGCAGCAGGAGCCAGTGAGAGGGACAGAGTGTCCCCTGGCCGCACCCCTGTCCTTCCAACCTGGGTGGGGTGTTTTTCAGCCATCTGCGAGGGGCTGGATGCCTGCCGGGAAGATGAGGTATGTGTGAAACCAGGCCTCTGTCGATGCAAACCTGGATTCTTCGGAGCCCAGTGCAACTCCCGTGAGTCCTGAGTGTCTCCTGAAGGATGAAGGCGCCGGGCAGGACTGGGGGAGAGGGGAGGCGAAGCAGGGAGCCAAGAAATCTTACAAGAGCAGGGCCAGAGTCCTTCCAAGCTTTGCTGAGGAAACTGAGGTCTGGAGACAGGAAGTGACGCACTCCCGGGGATGCCCTGAGTCGTCTGGTTTCTACCCCATCTTCAAAGTCCTCCCACGGGTTCAGTTCTGGGCTGTTCATCTTCCCTTTCAACTTCCTGAAAGACGCTGGAGATCCCGGTTAACTGCAAAATGAATGCGCTCTTAGTCTCATACACCTTCTGCCAGTCTGGAGGGTGACTGGAGTGTCCACCTTCTCTGGCATAAAGAGGGACTTGGCAAAGTGGTTGGTGGGCAGTTTAGCCAGAGGGCAGCCAGCCGCCAGGGGTCGGGGTTGAGAGGAGACGCTGGGGGGTGTGGCTTCTTCCGAGACCCCAAGGGCAGCCTCCAGGCCTGGACAGACACAGTTGGGGGTGTGTGTGTGGGGGAACCCAAGGAGAGGGAGGAGGGGCCCGAATGCAGGCCCACCCACTTCGGTGTGGCTCTGGACAGGCCCTTTCCCACTCTTAAGTGTGTTCTGGAATGGGGAAGTGGGAGGCTGGGCCAGTGCTAAGGAGCCTTGTGGTTCAGAGCTGGGGGCAGGAAGTGAGCTGTGCCCCAGGGACAAGCTGTCTAGGTTGTTGGAGGGTGGGCCCGCTCCCCGCACACACACTTCCTTGTGCCAAGGTCCCTCCTGGCACACAAGGGGGCGCGCGGCGAGCATCCGTGCCCAACCCCGAGCCCGCTGACCCTCTTCCGTCGCCACTCCGCCCTGCCGCAGGCTGCCCGGGCCAGTACTGGGGCCCCGACTGCAGGGAGGTCTGCACCTGCCACCCGCATGGCCAGTGCGAACCGGCCACCGGCGTATGCCACTGCCAACCCGACCGCTGGGGCGACCGCTGCGAGTTCCCGTGCGCCTGCGGTCCCCACGGCCACTGCAACCCCGAGACCGGCGCGTGCCGCTGCGAGCCCGGTTGGTGGTCGCCCGCGTGCCGCCGCCCGTGCCAGTGCAACCCCGCGGCGGCGCGGTGCGATCAGGCCACCGGCTCCTGCCTGTGCGAGCCGGGCTGGTGGGGCCGCCGCTGCAGCTTCCGCTGCGCCTGCCACGGCTCGCCGTGCGCGCAGGAGTCGGGCCGCTGCGCCTGCCGGCCGGGCTGGTGGGGCCCCGAGTGCCGGCAGCCGTGCGAGTGCGTGCGCGGCCGCTGCAGCGCCGCCTCCGGCCAGTGCGCCTGCCCGCCCGGCTTCCGCGGCGTGCGCTGCGAGCTGTCCTGCCCCGCCGGCCGTTACGGGCTCCAGTGCCGCGACAGGTGAGCCGGGGCCACGGGGGATGCGCGTGAGAGGGGAGGGAGGAGGGCGTGCGAAGGAGGAGGAGAGAATGAGAGGGAAAGCGGGGGAGGGAGGGGGGCCGCTGGGAGAAGGTTGCGCAGAAACAGACAAGGGTGGGGTGAAAGGGGGCAAAGAGACCCTCGACGCCCCTGAGTCCAGCCTCGCCCACCACTTTCATCTGGTTACTGTTAAACAAAATACTCCTAGCAAGCCAGCAGAAACAGGACGAAAGAAACACAAGGAATCACATGGTAAAAAGGCTATTGCAGGGTCTCTCTGCCTCTCAGGGGCTTTCAAACTTTGACCAGGTCCACCCACTTTAAGAAACGTTTTACATTCTATCATATATGTATTCAGTTCAATTCAGTCACTCAGTCGTGTTTGACTCTTTGCGACCCCATGGACTGCAGCACGCCAGGCCTCCCTGTCCATCACCAACTCTCAGAGCTTGTTCAAACTCATGTCCATCGACTCGGTGATGCCATCCAGCCATCTCATCCTCTGCCATCCCCTTCTCCTCCTGCCTTCAATCTTCCCCAGAATCAGGGTCTTTTCCAATGAGTCAGTTCTTTGTATCAGGTGGCCAAAGTCTTGGAGCTTCAGCTTTAGCATCAGTCCTTCCAATGAATATTCAGGACTGATTTCCTTTAGGATTGAGGGACTCTCCAGAGTCTTCTCCAACACCACAATTCAGAAGCATCAATTCTTAGGCTCTCAGCTTTCTTTATGGTCCATTTATTTCTTTATTAATACATATGATATACATATATATTACACATGTATATGATGGGCTATATATTAACTGAAGTAAAAAGTTAAGCTGACAGCACACACATACACACACACACACACACGCATATATATACACCCAAATGTTTTCTGTTCTCTCTTTTTTAATTCTGGTCAGGATCTGTTAAATTGATTTTATGAACTCCCCTTCTCCCACTAACGAGTCTGATCCAAGTGAGTGATCTCAGNGGGGGGGGGGGGTGGTTAGGAAAGGGCTGGAATTCTACTAGAGCCGCAGAGATAGTCTCTCCAGCCTCTTTGTTGTACAACATGGGGAAACTGAGGCTCAAACCTGCCAGAATGGCCCTGCTGGAACCAACATGCGCTCTAGACCCTGGAGGCCTGGGTGGGTGCGACATCCGTCCGCCTCTCAGGGCTCCCTGGACTCCTTCTCTTCCCAGCTGTGGCCACTGCAAGCAGAATAAGCCATGTTCTGCAGACACAGGCAACTGCGAGGCCTGCGAGCCGGGCTGGAACGGGACCCAGTGCCACCAGCCCTGCCCTCCTGGCACCTTTGGCGAGAACTGCAGGCAGCAGTGCCCCCGCTGCCGGCTTGGGGAGGCCTGTCAGCCAGACACCGGGCACTGTCAGCGCTGTGAGCCTGGCTGGCGGGGGCCCAGGTGAGGGGCCAGCCTGCTCAGGGTGGGGTATCCCTTCCTTCTAGATGCTTGCCCCAGCTGCTCCCTCTCGGAGAGCTGCTCCCTCTCCCAAGTATATAGTCACACAACCCAGTGGGGCCCACCTCTGGGTGAAAACTAAGGCAGGAGAAATGGGTGATGATGGGGCCCTGGGCAGGCCCTCCCACTACTCAGGCTTCCCACTCTTACCTCCCTCCAGGGATCTATAGTCTGTCACCTATTGGGTCTGACCTCAGATTCAAGGCCCTGTTTGCACCTGAGCTTCACTGCTGGATGAGTAGATGCTGGGCTCTCTGAATCTAGAAGTATGGGGGGAAGATGGGTGGATCCCATCTAGGGGTGGGGGTCAGGCCTGCCTTGCTCTCCATTCTGAGTCTCCCCTCACCTCAGGTGCGAAGACCCCTGCCTGATTGGCACCTTTGGGGAGGGTTGCAGCTCTACCTGCCCCACCTGTGTCCAGGGAGCCTGTGATGCTGTGACCGGGGAGTGTGTCTGCACCGTCGGCTACTGGGGGCCCAGGTGAGGACGGGGAGGAAGAGGTGCCTAGGTCAGGCCTCTGTGCAGTCTTCTCCCTAAACTTCCCCGCCTGGGCTTCTCCCCCGCCCACCCAGCATCCTCATAACTAGGAAGTTATTCCTCTGGTTGTGGGGTCTGCATCTCCCAAAGGGGGCTCAGTGGTAGAAGTAGAACCAGCTCAGTAGTGTCTGACTCTTTGCGACCCAGTGGACTGTATGTAGCCTGCCAGACCCCTCTGTCCATGGCAAGAACATGGATTTCCCAGGCAAGAACACTGGAGCAGGTTGCCATTTCCGTCTCCAAGGGATCTTCCCAACCCAGGGATCGAACCCGCGTCTCCTGCACCTCCTGCCTTGGCAGGCAGATTCTTTACCACTGTGCCACTTGGAAATGTCAGTGTCGCCAATGTCAGGTTCTCCCACCTGTGGAACAGAAGAGAGTATTAACTGGAAGAGGTTTCATTTTACAGAGGAGAGGACCAAGGCCCAGAGTTAGGGCGGGGCGGGCCTTGCTCAGACCTCCAAACGCTGAGGAAGTGTCTCTGGATTCCACTGATATCTTGCTTATTTCAATGATAGCACCAAGTGGACAAGGAATGAAGATCTTGAGAAGTGGACCCTGCCTGAGGCTTTCACCCCGGGGGCCTGGGAGCCAGGGGGCAGTTTGTGGATGGTCTCTCTGGAAGATGGGCTTGGGGGCTAAGGGGTTCTTGTAAACACTGCCAGGGGTGGGGCGCTTAGAATGTGGCTCAGAGGTCAGAGGAGTCTAGCTGGGCATCCTTTGGGGGAAATATCTTGCTTATTTCAATGATAGCACCAAGTGGACAAGGAATGAAGATCTTGAGAAGTGGACCCTGCCTGAGGCTTTCACCCCGGGGGCCTGGGAGCCAGGGGGCAGTTTGTGGATGGTCTCTCTGGAAGATGGGCTTAGGGGCTAAGGGGTTCTTGTAAACACTGCCAGGGGTGGGGCGCTTAGAATGTGGCTCAGAGGTCAGAGGAGTCTAGCTGGGCATCCTTTGGGGGAAGTCTGTGGCAGGGGGTAGGGAGCAGTGCCCAGAAATCTGCCTTCCCCTGCCCACCTCCGTGCCTTCTCAGCCACCCTCCCACTTATCTCTCCTGTCCCCCCAAAGCTGCAACACTTCATGTCCATATGGCTTCCATGGAAACAACTGCTCTGTTCCCTGCGAATGTCCAGAGGGAAACTGCGACCCTGTCTCTGGGGCCTGCCAGCTGGGTAAGCTGGAACAGAGTACAGGGTGAAGTAGCTGGGGGAAGGATGGCCTTTTTTTTTTTCTTGGCTGTACTGCGTGATATGTGGGATCTTAGTTCCCTGACCAGGGATTGAACCCGCGCCCCATGCAGTGGAAGCTTGGAGTCTTAACCACTGGTATGCTAGGGAAGTCATGAAAGAATGGCCCTTGACACAGGCTCTGCGGCTTCCTTACTGGCTAGAAAGGCTAAGCCCACTTCAGAGATGCTCTACCTGAAATCTGTATGGGTGCTTTGGGGCCCCCCTGAAGACATGACAAAGCCCTGGTCCCCTGAGAAAACAGGCTAGCACCCAGGAGACAGGTACACAGGGCTGGATACTGGGGTGTCCCATCAGGCCTGAGAATTGGGGCAAGAGTTTGTGGAACAGGCTGGGGACCATCAGGAAGGGACAGACCAGTAGGGAGGCTGCCTGGAAGAGGGGGCCTCCAAGCTGAGCTGAGCCTACATCTCTCAGAAGAGGGGGAGGGCCCCACAGGTGGGAGATTCAGGGAGAAGGCAGTGTAGAACTAGAGATGAGACATGATGTGTGGGAGACAAGAAGGCCCCGAATATGTGTCCGTCGCCCGCCCTCCCTAGGATCTCATAGTCAGGACGCCGCCCTCATCGCGGGCATCCTCGTACCTCTGCTGCTGCTCCTCCTGGCCATCTCCTGCTGTGCCTGCTGCTGCTGGGCTGCCCGGCTGGACCCCAAGGACAGGTGAACATGGGTCCCTGTCTTCCCGACCCCACAGCTCAGGCCATGGGTGGAAGCAAGGTGGTATCTATGGTTTCCTTTCTGGGATGGAGATAGGCTGGCCTTGTCACACACATAGTCAGAGGTAATGAAGTAGCTGGCCATGGCCGAGGCCTGGAGACACCAGGTCAGCCACCTGCCCTCCTCAGATGCTTCTGGGGGTGGAGGGTGTGGGGGAGCAGGCACCAGGCTGGCAGAAGCAGCAGCAGGACAGCTCTGGGCGGGGAGGCAAAGAGACCAGGCCTCTGAAGGGAGAGTGCCGTGAACGCCTGTGCAAGGGTTCAGCAGAGGGCGTGGTTTTCAGAGAAAAGGAGAGGTGAGAAGGGATTGAGGCTTGGGGGCTGCTGCGGGGAACACCCTTCACACAAGAGCTTTGTTCCTTTATGAAACGTCTTCATACTTCTCGGCCCCTTGGAAGCTCAGAGCAGTGTGGATGGAGGTTTTGAGCAAGGCACTTAGGAGCAGGGGAGTTGCCTTCTTAATTCCCAGGAGGACACAGACCCAAGGTGACCCTGATAGTCGCTGGCCCACATGAAGCCCGTGCCCAGTTTTCTGGACTCTGTTTTATCTGGTGTGCTGTTAGTTCACTCACTACCCCTTGAGCATGTCCCTCTTGTCTGTGGGGGCATCGTCAGAGCAGCA